TTAGTTCGGTACAGTACTGAGCAAATGAAGAGAAAAGGAAGTGACACATTTACTACTGGGACACACCGCTCATGAACCCCATCTGCCTGCTGGATGTCACTTAGCTGAATAGATCTGGCATATGCCGGGCGAGGATAATAACAAAAGCCAGAGTGAGAATGTTTAAGAAGTACAAATCACATCATTAATGTCATTAATTGGAGGCAGAAATGTAATTTTAACAGAGTTATGGGCTTGAATGGCTCCACTTCCACAGAACGAGACCAAAAGCAAGTCCACAATAAAACACTACCTCATTATGAAAGCAAACAGAATATAACAAGCAGGCTCAAAAACTTCAAAAAGGCCTCATCTCAGAGAATCACGCCAGGAACAAAAACCAGAATAATTATAGAAGAAAAAGTGTTTGAGAGTGAATTTTCACAAATACTGCCTGTAGAATTAGAGGCCACATGTGAGATTAATGAGGCACAGGCCCGACAAAGAGGGAAGGCACCATCTTTTCTCAATTCCGGATCGAGATGTAAACAATGTCCCACCCTCTAAACAAACAGGGAACAGTCCTCAAGGGAATGTAATTGTTATATCAGCGTGCTGCTAGCACTTTCTCCTAATAGCAAAGAAAGCAGCCTTAAAGTGAAAATCTGTGCTGATAGTGTGCAACTAACTGTGAGAACAAGATTTTAGTGTTGATTATTGGCACATGAGAAGCACCAGTGAAAAAACAAAGAGAGCATTCCTGAGGTCGGCCAGTGGACAAAGCAGCATTGTCATTTAGTAAAGGCTTGTTTTGGAAATCTGGATGACACTTGTTGATGTGCAACGAAGAGAAAATATGACCAAGGCTCTAAAAAAAACAGTCCACTGTCATGTCTACCCAACACCTTAGTGCAGAAAGCCCAGTGTCTTTATTAGCTGTGTTTTAGTGAGGGTTAGCAAACAAATAAAGTTCTTGGATGCTAAAAAGCATTAGTAAAACATAGGATGATTACATTTAAAGGAGACATTTGAGATTCTGGAAAAGTTTGATGAGATTTTGATGAAAAGACTGCTAGTAAACTTCACGTCTATATGGTAAATATTAAAAAAATATGTTAAGCCTAGCTTAGCATGAAGGCTAAAATCAGCTAGCTAACGCTACATAAAGGTAAATTAGTTTTTAAATATATCATGTTTTGTTAATTACTGTGTGCAGCTTGTAATACAGGGTGTGATATGCTGGGAGGATGGAGAGGAATCCCTCACCTACTACATAAACTGCTTTTTGTTTTGTGTTTTATCTAAATAAAAATGTATTTCCCCCGCTGATTTTTAGCACTGCATCTTGAAACAGTCTATAAGGCAAACAACAATGAAATCAGAAACTGACTTTCACTTTCAGCACTCCTGATGGGAGATGACACAGCAAACATGGAGGCGATCTGGATCCCATTCTGTTTCAGCTTTTTATTCTTCCACCTTCACACCAATGCTGCTTCAACATGTAAACTGCAGCTAATTAAATAACAGAGAAATGAAACTGATTCAGAGTTGAATCTGAGGCCCATCAGGCGGCAAAACACATTACAGAGTATTTCATTATATTAATAAGAATTACATTTAATCCAGTTAAATTATTTATATGGAAGTATTACAGGTGTTGCTTGATTGGATTTTTAATTATTATTAATTGCAAAGACAGTAAGGGTTGCAAAAATCTTCTCGGAACAACATTTTAAAGTTGAGTTCCTTATTTCAAAAAAATGAACATTTAGGAAAAATAGAGAAATCAGGACATTCGGGACCAAATTACTCATCTTTCTGAACATATTTAAAAGAATGTATTTGTTCATGAAAATTCAGAAGAAGCAGCGGGTTTTTTAACTGAAGCTGCACTCCACACCGCACAGATTACATATTCAAGTAAGCAAGATAACACTAGTAAGTGCAGATAAACCCAATTGAGCTCTTGTGACCATCGGAGATAAGAAGAGATTAGATGTGAAATTACAAGCTTGGGGACAGACATTATCAGATAAAGACATGCTTCCACTAATCATCTTGAAATGCAGGACTGCAGAGCTAGAGTGACATGGGAGATGAGAAGCCCCAAAAACTTGCATATTCGACAGGACAAAGACAAATGCCTTCTGAAAAAAAAATGACCACATGGAATACAAAAGGCAGCACCTCCATGTGACATAAAACAGACTCCATTGCGTCTGTCTAAAAAGTGATTGTGGTTAGCTCTTGTCTTTTCCAATAACTGTGCATCTGAACAAGACAAGCAAGAGATTTACATAAAGCAGATTTTCCAACACAACATGACCTTGTATTCAGTTGTTGCACGTTGACGGACATGCTGGGACTTGATAGATGTAATATGGCTCTATTGTGTGAGTCGAAGGGAGTTTTTTTGGTCATATTGCTCAGGCACTCATCCCCTGTGCAGACAGCAGCCTCAGGTATTTCACTGCCTGTCCACCCCCACTCTGATTGTGACTGACTGTCACATGAAAACTAAACCTTTCCCAGATTCCTGTTTCAAATATGCCATTTGTGCCAGCTTAGCAAGCAGACGAAAGACGAACCTTAGGAAATTTAACCTCTAGCCCTGAAGTCATAGCCCACGTTTCATTTGCAAACCGCTGAGCTTACTCTTCATTTCTCAGGGAAACAGGAGAGTGGGGTGGGAGTCACGAGTGTAGCCATAATGTTCTGTGGTGCAGAGGCTTCAAACGAAATCCTTTCTTTAAATTCTTTACATGAGTCACGTTTTTAGAGGTGTTGTCCAACCTGATAAACTCATTCACTCGATTCCACCTCCCAAAAAGACATCATTTCTGTATTTCATCAGACTGAAGCAATATTTAAAAATTTTAGGCACTGAGCAAAACCGCTGAAGCAAAAAGAGTCTCACTGAGATCCAGATGTTGTCATTTTTTTCCATTTATAAATCCTGAATTTCAAAATATGCAGCCAAAGATATAAACAAAATACCTATTAAATTAAGACGTGTCTACATTAGAAATATCTGTTACTGCTTATCCCATTCTAGGGCTGTGCCTCATCATTCCCATGAGAGAGAAAAAGTTCCCAGGATCTTGGTCAGCCATATTTGGTATGCTAATACCCACTCAATCTGACACATTCCCAACACACAGGAACAGGTGTCTTCAAAACAAGGCAAAGTCTTAGCGATCAGGGTATCCTCTTTTGTGGCTCCACAAGCAGCAAAAGGGGAAAATTATATGGTTTAGGAAAACCGTGGCAGCCTGAGCACAGAGACCCAAAACACACACACAGCACTAGTGCTGAAATGTTAACAAGTAATTATATGCCTGGACTGCACTATAGAATAGCGTTGAGACATAATAAAACCAAAGCGAGTCAGAGCACAGAAGGTCGTGGCTGATGTGCAGCTAGACAACAAACCATTCCAGGATCTAATAAGGTGAATTCAGGGGAAGCTGAAAACATTTAACTGAGCTTCCATGAAAGGAATCTCTGTATAACTGATACAGCATCTAATCAGATATGGAAACTCACGCTGGATGAAAATGTGAAATGTGTTTGTGTCTCACCCATCAACATGGCAACTGGGAGGAGTTGAAACATCCTGACTCTGAGACGAATATAATGCACGTATCTGCATCTCGGTTACTGTCGCTCCTCTGACCGCTCGCTCACAGCAGCTTTCTGTTCAGCTCTCCCGTTCCACATGTGTTAGCTGTGAGCGGGATTTGTTTAACTGTCTGGAAAGCAGCCACTGTATGGTCATTTCTGTTGTGATAATTGCCTTAAGTACAGGTTAATGTGCGTGTACCCGAGCTGCTGGGCGAGTGAGCTTAACGTTGTTTGACGCTGACTGCGAGTTACTTGAAAACTTTAACAAGGCTGGGTGCAGGCCACGAGAAAAGCCTTGACTGGAGGCAGTTGCCTCCTATGGCTTCATATTCAGCAGTCACACTGTGGCTCGAAGAGTTGTTTGTTCACTTTAACTAATCAGTAAGGACATTACGCAAATTATAAATATGCTGTGTGTGGGTGGGGGGGGGGCAACAAAGAACCTTGGATTGTGTTCAGACTGAGCATCCTTTTAGCTTTATTTGCGCCTGCTGGTAATCAGGTCAGCTGTCTAACCATGTGTGACAAGAGAGAAAGCAAAACAAGTGCAAAAAAACCAAAAAAACAGCAGAAAATCCTCCAACCATGATGGGAGGAAATATTACATCTGTGACTATTGCTAACAGGCATGAAATTTATGAGCATACACTCATCGTTGGCCTATATTCTGTGTGGCTTCAGACTTGTCTTCAGTACAGTATGAAATCATGTCAGAACACAGCACAAAGTTTTAATGACCTTCAGAGTGCACAGATAGTGTGAAATGTTAAAGGATGCTTAGCTTTCTTAGAAGCTTTTCTTTACTCTTAGATAAAATGCGCAGCCCGTTGTGTCTTTAAAAACCATCAGTGTGATCCAACATGTCTTTGAACGCAACATGACAAATTACCTCTGACTTCGGAGATTTACAGTGGCACCCCGAGGCCAGACATTTATCTGCTCAGCCTTGTACATGTCTTCATATCAAAGAGGCTCAACCTCCTCTCGTGGCTTTGAAAACCCCAAATCAGCCATGCAAAATACCAAGGTGGTGTTATTATCCTGAGATGATTACTCTTGGAAAGTTCACATGAATTACATAACATAATATCATATTGCAAGCAGGTGGGTGACAGACACCATGTCCTTTGCTGCAGCAGCAGCAGCATTGCATTTGCACATATTTTATTTGACTAAATTCTCCTTTGAATTAAAGATAAAGTGTTTATAAGTGCTCTTGCTTTAGTGTATTTTCAGACACTGCTACAGGAGGTCACTGTGTGTACAGTTATTTGCTCATTTTGAATCCTTTTGTCACCAGACATTTCCAAAACACTCATAACTACAGCAAAATCTAAATAACTTAGTGCACAAATATTCATTTAAACTCTTGACAGTATGTGAGTTTTGTTTACCTGTTCTCTCCTTTTGCATTGGAGGGCGGTGGGTGCAGAACAGTTTGATTGTCCTCCATGTCCACGACACATTTTGTATTCAGTTCAATTTCTGCAGAGAAAAGTTTGTTTGGAAAGTGAAGCAGAATGCGGGGGTGTGAAGAATAAAATCGGAGTTACTTTGGCCTTCTTTAAACTATTCTCAAGTCTGACTTCAGGCTCACAACTCAAACTGAAAGCAGCAATGGCGAAGAAACCAAAAGTTTATGGTAATGTGGCACGAAGCCAAGGAGACAGAAAAGGAGTCTGCAAGCAGAAATCGTCGTTATAACACTTACCCCTGCGGTTCATGGGCCGAACTCTCACTGCAACTTTTACCTTTGTATCCGACATTTTCGTCCACTTTTCACTCCCACCCTGTCTATTAGCCCAGCTATCAACGCAGAGTCTCCGACAAGAAAGCCCGGCTTTTTGCCAGAAAACAGGGCAAAAGAATCTAGCTAAACAATCCCAAATGAGTCCGATCCTCGATGAGAAGTGATGGGAAAGCGTTCATTTTTGTCTTAGTATCCATCCGGGTTCGCTTCTTGTGCAAATCCAGCACTCAGCTCCAGCCCCAGACAGCATCCCCACCGCCATCTTCCACTGGGAGCACGACTGCTTTCCTCTGGCAGACTGGAGAGGCTGTGCCAAAGAGGGGGAAAGGATTTACGCACCCCGCCGGCGCATCGGCGCATTGGGGGAAACCAATGAACGAGAAATGTGAGCGTGTGTGACAAGTTAGTTCACATGCATCAGTGAGCATTGAGAGGCAGTGCGGAGCTAGGAGTCAGCTTTAAACAGTTGTTATCAAATATGATTTTTGGCTACGACTTATTGGCGCTTAGTTCTCTCACACATACACACTGAATTGTTTAATTATTTGCATTTTTGGTAAGCAAGAAAAGGGGTCAAATTTTTTTACAGTTATATAACTTTATTATAAGGTTTAGCAGAATCATTTTTTGACCCACCACCTCACTTCTGTTGACGTAAAGCCTAAAAATAATGTCTGTTTTTCACTCTTATATCCCCAAGCTGCCAAATCTAACCGTTACATTAGCATTTATTCTGGGCTTCTTTGAATTTCTTTTTAAAGTTTAAGTTTTGCCATTTGTCAATCACCTTAAAGTTTTGCATTAAAAAGCTCTTACACACACACACACACACACACACACACACACACACATATATATACATAATTTGTAACTTCTGTTTTAACACATGTGATATAATCTAATTTAAAAAGTCTTCTGTTATACACGGAAAAAATAAACATATAATCTGTAGTTGTGGCATATAACGTTTATATTATCTATGTATGGTCTCACTGTCTGCTGTTAGCAGCTGGACCTTTATTTCTCAGATAGTTTCAATTGGCATCATTTTTCAAAAGCCTTGGATCAGTTCAGAGACTGAGAATCATCACATTGCTATATTACACGTCATTAAATAACACAACATCATTTTCAACAACTGCTACAACATTAACACAATAACAGACATAATTTCATTCCTGACGTCCTGCTGAAAATGGTTTCACCATATACAACCTTTTGTTTGATTATTATTTTGACACTTTCAAAGTAACACAATGACATTTTTACACTCTATCTAAAGTAAAACTTGACTTGTAAACTAGTCACAGAAGGCAACTCAAACAACAACCAAAAAAAATTAATACAACCTCTCATCACTTCATCCTGTGATAAGCTACATTTCACTTCACTTTATTTAATTTGTCCCACTTGAACAGCTACTTTGGGATTGTTCATACATAAACTATGTCACAGGTCCAGCATCAGATTTGGGAGAATAAATCTTCACTGTATGGTCGCCACTGTCCAGTGTAATGAGAAGGTTGTTCAGTAGCGTTAATCCAACAGGGCGAATAAGATGGTCTCCCACAAGAGGAGTACGGACTGGGCCACTCTGGAGCTTCCCTAAGCTCCAAATCATCCCCTGGTCTGAGTCAATCACAATTAGATCTCCATCTCTGTCGAACGTCACACCTGAGATGCTGAGCCTCACTGTGGACTGCAGGGTCAGGCTAAAAGTGTCTGTCTGGTAAAGGAGGTGGAACTCTTTTGTAAACACCCTGAGCCTTCTGTGTTGGTGTCTCTCCGTTGGATTGGTGACATCAGTTAGATGCTCCGTCACTGCAGTGTTCCCATTCACGCAACAATAGGCCACCGCTTTAGGGCACTGAAGGTCTGAAATGGTTGTTTGATGCTCTAGAACGACGCTGTGACTATAGTCCACCCTCACCTTGGAGAGAGTGCCGGCCTCAACATCAGAGACCAGGATGTGTCCACAACTGTCAGTGTCCACGCCCCAGGGCATCTGGAAGGAATCTTTGATTGTCAACATGTGATTCCCCCTGGATGTGAACACTTTTACAGCTTTATCACCTGCATCAGTCACAACCACGTGACCAGCTGGGGTCACTGCCACGTCCACTGGGTAACAGATGTCCCCACTGGCTGCTCCTTTTCGCCCAAAGCTGTGCAGCTTCTTTCCCTGTAGATTGAACACCACCACTCTCTTTTCTCCATCATGGACCACAACTATTGTTCCTGAGGACCCCAAAACAGCTATTCCAGTGGGGTTGATAAGAGTCCCCCACCCACCAAATGCAGTACGCAGGAGAAGAGTTGTGCACGTCAGAGCTGCGGGAAAGATAAAACCAGCTTTTGCTCTACACGGAGGAGCAGACGGTGAGGGACTTTGAGACAACAGAAGATCCTTTAGGTCACTAAGAACCTGGCAGTGGGAGGTGCTGTCAACACTGCATAACTGTCGACAGAAAGGGCACTCCAGCTTCCTCAGGAGAGGGTGGGACAAAGCTGTGATGCATTCCAGACAGAGTACATGGCCACAGGAAAGGTTCTGCGGTCTGCGCTCCCTTTGCTGACAGCTAAACGTCTCGAAGCAGACTTTGCACTCCAGTAGGTTGATCTGTATCTCTCTGATGATCCCCTCTGGACTGAGGCAGCCACGATGTTGGAGACTCTTAGCCATGACTGAAATATCCTGTTCTTTAAACCCTGTGGGATGGTTCAGTCAGCTGATGCAGGCAGCAGCAAATTCAGGAAACCAAAATAGAACGCGTGCCAATTTACGTGGTGAAATAGAGAATCATGGAGAGAGGCATGAAGCACAATTTTGTGTAAGCACTCGTGCCCTGGGCTTTTAGGCCTCAACTGTCACGTGGTATTTTGCACATAACTAAGGCTCTCTGCTGCCCTCCTTTGGAACAGTCACAGAACCCAAATTGCAGATATCACAGAGTAAATTCAGTGACAAAAAAGCCTGTATATTACTTTTAAAAAAGGAAAGAAATATGCCTGGCTGGAGTTCAGTGCACAATCTTAAATGTGCAACAGTGTGTCAGCCACAGCTCTGCCACTACTCATGTTTATTTCCAAAGGAACAGCAACCGTACCTTCAAATACATCTTGCTGCAGGTCAGCATGCGGCAGCTATTTCAGTCTGAGTTTCATGCTGTGCAGACGGAGTGAAATCTGATCTGTTATGGGCCGCGCTTGAATCAGCCAATCCAGCCCTCCTTTGCTGCAGCGGGACACTCCTCAGGGGTCAAACAATGTCATTTAAAATTTCTCTTGTTAAGTACGCAAACACAGAGGGGCTTCCTGCTAATAGGAATGTGACAGCAAGTAAAAACAACCAAACAAGATTAGGAGGAAATGAAAACACTTTTAATACATTTCACAGTGGAAAAGAACAGCACAGGTCGTTTTCAGCAGAATTGTTTTTGGCAAATGACATCTAAATCCACAGACGAGGTCCTATTTAGTGTCTACTGTATGTAGCACGGGAGCCAGGTCTGTTCCAGAGAGGTCAGTGTCTGGATTGTCAAGGATTATGAGGGATAGTATATCTGTACTGAGATGATACTGACACATGAAATGGAAATATAACCTTCAAATAAAATACTCAAGGCCAGAAGAATCAAAGACACACAAAAAAATCAGTCTTAATAGAAACTGAAAGAAGATAGGAGTTAAAAAAACAAAACAAACATGCAAACAGGCACAAGGGGTGAATTAAAATGTTACCACGACAGTGAAAAAGGTTCACATAACAATACTGGCATCTTGCTGTGTGGTGAATACAAAGACTCTTGTAACGGTTTCCTACTACAACACTTGTTTTGATTGGAGTCAGCCATGCAAATGCAATATACGCAACAAGGTCAATCCAGACACAGACAGAAAAACTGACAATACATGCAGTAATTTGAATAATTAGCTTCTCTTATTAGTAAAAAAAAAAGAAGAAAAGAAAAGAAAAGAAAAGAAAAGAAAAAAAATTAGCAGCCACAGGAGGACAAGGAGAGTAAAATCACTCAAGGTCACAATGATTCACAAAATACTCGAACATTACTTAATGTACAGTATTCTCAATAAACTTTCTGCAAAGTGCTTAAACTGTGTGCTTTGCTTCATTACAGGACAAACGCAGACCCAAGCCCGTGATCCTACCACGCTAAAGCTGTCTGGTATTGAACTCCTGCCCACATTCAAGTTAAAAAACATAAAATAGTGAACATCTATGATGCAAATAGATAATCAGTGACAGACATTTATATAAAAATGCTTTAGCTTCTTTTGTGCTATAAACATAGACGCTCCACTAAGTGATAAATTCTACATAATGGCTTTTAACATTGAAATGGGTTTGATACCAGAGTTGATATAAACCAGTCAATTGTACATTAGCCTTTAATGATACTGCTTCATAGGATAACTGAATTATAGCTCACTAGCTACAATGATCATGCAATTATATTTAGAAATGGCAGTTTTTGTTGCCACACCTTTCTCTCACACACTCGCACAAAATAAAATTCTCCCACTCTTTCATCCAAAAAGCAAACACAAAAAAAAAAAAAGTGATCAGTGGTTTAGGAGCTTTTATGACTACAGCACACACCAACGTGTGTATCTCTGTAGTCTGAGCCACTGTGCACTCCTAATAACACTGCATGGACCTGTTTTTCCACTTCTGCTGTCTGCACTCCATCTACTGTAGGTGGGTGGCTTTCTAGGCTTCGGTTACATCAGGAAGTGGTCGTAGCTTTACCCTCTTCTCCATCTGTAATCTTTCACACTTTGGGTTACCCAACAGCCTCCGCCTCCAACTCCTACTGGCTGTCGAGGCCGTTGATGGATTTGGTCTTTCCTGAGTCCTTCTTTCTCTGTCTGGCTTTGGGGCTGTCACCGTCTACATCAGTTTCTCCTGAAACATGAAGCTCACATATTTCAAATGAACCCATAAAGAGATGTAACTGCACTGTGTTTCTTCTCATACATGTATGAGTATGCATATGTAAAGCACTATAATAAACACTAGAGGTCACCCATTTACAAGACAGCAACTGAATACTGGTATGCATTTTTTAATGTGGTGTGCTGGATGAATTACAGTGAAGTCAGTGTACCTTTAAATCCCTCATACACATGGTCAGCAAACTCTGCGAAATTACTGTCTTCACATTCTGAGAGGCTCTGAGGGGAGAAAAGGTTTAAGACACATGACACACACATACCTGTAACTGGACAGAGACCATACTGTACATGCATCACGGCTAACTGACTCCGTACAGCTTTCTCTGTAAACAACCCGATAACAACCCCTACAAGGAAAACCTTGAATGTTAATATTTACTAATGATCTTTGATGATTATTTAGCTACAGAGCATTAAGCATGGTTG